GGTGAATGCCACAAATTCTCCTAAATCACTCGTACGCACAACTTAAGAACAAATCTGTGCGTACGAACGGTTCTTGCATGAGGCCCATTGTTTCTTTTATAAAATAAAACTTAGTGAGGAGTGGCTGCTGATAAACATGCTTTTTTGAAAGCATATTGTTCATTCCCATAACTGCAACACATTCATACACTTCATGTTGAAAGTTCAAGAACAGGTTTGTGTTTTATCTGAACAGACAGCAGCTTCTAGTCCTTGCTGTAGATTGAGGACATCAAGTTGACATTATTACTTAAAACCAACAAAACTGACATTAAACCTATGACATCACTCACAAACATTTTACAATATCAGGAGTGTGAAGGATGTTTTTAGTTTGTTTTGATCACTCTCATGCTTGTGCTGCAGCAGAGTAGATAAAACAACAGCATTAGTCAGTGTTATTGTTTAATCATGACTGTAGAAATCTGACATGTTGCTGTGATTTTTAAAAGACTGGGAGCTTCAGCCTAAAATACTGTATTTTAGTTATTTACTAGTTATTAAGTTATTCAAAGATGTGCTGTACAATTTATTTACCTAGTTCTTTTATATTTTATTATAACATACAAACAGATTTATTACAATTAGGTCATTCAATCTTACATTATTGGCAAGTGAGTATACTCTCCATATCATCTGTTTAAATTTTATGGTGTCCCATCCTTCTGTCACACTCCTCATCTATTCCGCTTCTCCTTTTATAAAAATTCCATCCATCCATCCATCATCTGCTGCTTCCAGAGACAGGTTGTCGGGCAGCAGATTGAGCAGGGAGGCCCAAACCTCTGTTTCCCCAACCACCTCTTTCAGCTCTTCTGGGAGGATTCCAAGGCACTCCAAGGCCAATCACATGACATAGTCTGTCCAGTGTGTCCTAGATCTTCCTCAGGATTCCTTCTCCCATTTGGACTTGCCTGAAGCAAGCGTCCAAATGCCCAAACCACCTCAACTGGCTCCTCTCGATGTGGAGGAGCAGTGGCAGTACTCTGAGTCTCTCCTGGATATCTGAACTTCTCACCCCTTATCTCTTGAGAGCCCAGCTACCCTGTGGAGAAAAATAATTTTGACCCACTGTCTCTGTGATCCTGTTCTTTCGGTCACTACCCAAATTTCGTGGCCATAGGTGAGGGTCAGAATGCAGACCTTTTTCTTACTTTACCTTACATCTCAGCTCCTGATTCACTGCAACAGACTGCTACAGAGTCTGAAATACTGTGAAAGCGAATCATAGAATCATCCATCAATCTCACGCTCCATTCATCCCTCACTCATGAACAAAACCCCAAAATGCTTGAACAGAATCCCTGACAAGGAGCAGCCTAGGTGGAGTCCTACTCCCACCCCAAAAGGGTTCAACTTACTGCCAGCAATGTGAACCAAACTCTCACTGCTTGCATAGGGACTGAATGGCTCATCACAACGACCCCACAATCCCGTATTCACAGAGCACCCCCACAAAGTACTTTGAGGAACACAGTCAGATGTCTTCTTCAAGTCCAAACACATGTAGATTTGATGGACAAACCCCCATCACCCCTGAATGACCCTAGTGAGGGTAAAGAACTGGTCCAGTGTTCCAGGGCCAGGACGGAACAACATTGTTCATACTGAATCTGAGGTTCATCTATCAATTGGACTCTCATCTCCAATACCCCTGAAAAGACCTTTGTGACACTGCCCCTGGTGTTCATGCAATGTTGCAGATGCATCAACCAAGACAGCCCCACAACTTGAGGAAATCAGGCCAGAACTTGTCCACACCTGGAGCCCTGGCTGCTGCTGTGGGACTTTTTAACTACATCACAGCCTTTGGCTCTGGTTATGGACAAAACAGCTCTGAAATCTCCGGACTTAAATTTCTCTATTGAAGATGTGCTGGTGGGTTTGAGAATGTATGAGAGTTATTCCTTCCACCTCCTGACAACATCACTGGTTGAGGTCAACAGGACCCACCTTCATTGAGCACAGTGTTAGTGAAGTGCCACTGTCCCCACCTTAACAGCTAGATGGTTTGCCAGTATCTCCTCAGAGTCAATCAAGGGTCTTTATCCAAGGCCTCAACAAACATCCCACATCCGAGCTTTTATTTCAACAACCGTCAAGGCTGCAGCCTGCTTGGCTGGTAGATACTGCTCAGCTGCTTCCAGAGTCCTACCAGCCAACAAGTCCCAATAGGACTCCTTCTTCAGTTTGACAGCCTCTCTATTCCAGGATGTCCATCACCAAGTTCAAGGATGATCGGTGAAATAATCACCCATAACTTTGCAGCCACAGATCAAAGAAGCTGCCTTGAAAATTGAGGCACAGAACATGGCCCGTTGGGATTCAATGGCCCCCATCTTAGCTCTCATGCGGTTAAAGTTCTTATGGAGGTGTGAGTTGAAGATCTTTCTTAGGTTCTTCTGCCAGGTGTTCTCAGCAAACCCTCCAGGTGGTGATTAATTGACAGTTCACCACTAGATTTCAGATTTGAGAAGCTGTTCCTCACAATCATGCCCCTCCGGGTCACACCATTGTTGTGTTGATTTTGTAGATGAAGCAATGTCATTTACAACTCTACTGCTGCACCATCATGAAGACAATTCTTCTCTGATTCCTGCAACCTCACCTCTTATCTATGTTGTTTAAAAATATACATTTCAGTTTCTGAGATACAACTGAGCTTGTCTCTGATAACTATTCCCATCCCAGCAAATGCTCAGTCTTTCATGGTGCACAAAATACACAAGCATTCTTAAGAGGATGGTATTAGTATGAAATACAAAATACATTTGAGGCACTTAATGCAAAATTTTGTAGATATGTTAGGCGATTTTTGCATACCTCCCATCATGAGCTCTGGTACTATTTAGAAAATATCTTGAGCTAAAGTCTCAAATTCTCCAGTTTTACAACGGTAATGGTGGATACCATCTGTAAACAGCATCAGAGAGTGAAAAGCATGAATATGCTCAAATGGATTAACTTTGAGTTAATTCCTTTGACTCCTAAAGCTGCACTTTATTGTGAAAATCTGATTGAAAGAACATACTTGTCTTAGTGTGATTCTTTTAACATTCCTATTCTTTTTTCTTTGAAAGAGTAACAAGTTTCTTGAAAAGACTTAAGAATTTCTTTATTCTAGGATTTCATCTTTCTATAAAAATAAATGCTGTTTGCACAGAACATGAGTCAAACATTTGAAGCACTGTGATTTGTTGTATTAATTTTTATTTTCTTTTTATAAACAGGTGCATCAGTCCATGAGGAGGTGCCTGACCTCCTTTAGAAACTCGGCTCTCTTGTTTTTTCAAACCTTTTGTTCTGCTTTTAGCTTTTAGTTAGACCTGTTATTATTTAGCTAGCATTTTGCTGCTTTTAGCATTTAGCCAGTGTTTAGCTAACAACCCAGTTTCAGCTTCTTCAGTAAATGGTGGGTTTTCACAGATGCACCAGTTTTTCTTGTTAATCCAGATGAATTATTTGTGTTCCAGTGTAAAGGTTCAGCTTGTTGCTCAAACATAAATCAAACTAAAAYCTTTTTGTTCTGCCTCACCGCTCTGCCTGAGCTATATGCTCGTTTAGTTTGGTGTTTTGTGTGTCTGCAGTTTTCGGCTTTGAGAATATTCCGTGTTGTTTTCTATGACCTGGTCTGGAAACTTCATTTGACAAAGGAGCCCATCTGCCCTTRTCTGGCCCATGCTCTGCCTCATACATGGAGTCCTGTGTGTGTTTATGCAGGGCCCATTAGAACTTGATGTGTACAACAGGAACATCACAGACGCATGCTTACCAATGGGCCATTAGACGTCCCTGCACCTGGCACAGTGGTTTAATTGGTCAGGATGGCCTCCACTCTAACAGGATTGGTTCCAATAAGCTGAACCCTGTTCTTCCATCTGAGCCCCGGCTCTTTACAGCTTCTCATATCATCACCATTTACATAGTCAAGAGCCGTTAGATGTGTGCTGCAGTAAACAGAGCCAGAGCCTTTCTTTCCTTTAACCCTGCCTGGTTTTTCATCTCACAGCCTGTTTTTATCYGCCTGTTAGTGTTCTCTCTATTGCCTCTCAAAAGCTTGTCTCACTCAGAGAGGCTTTAATATTTAACAAGTCTGATTTCACTTTAATGACTCATGTGTTACTATATGATCACTTAGCTTATTGCAATATTATAATGTGTCATTTAAATCATCTGCTGCCTGTAACCAAAAGCTGAGCAATTATGTTTTTGCTTATGTTTGTTTGTAGCAAAATATCTCACGAATTTTCATAAAACTCTCAGAAAGTAATATTGGATCTACTGATGGAGTCGGTCCATTTCAAGATGGCTGCCACAGCCATGACAGGCAGCACAAATAAAAATAAACAGTGACAAACCGTGAGATTGTGCTTAATGTTATTTTCAGGGTTTGAGCAAAACGAGTCAAAGACTCGGGCATGAAAGGCAGCAGGTGACCTCTGCTGATCATTTTTTTTATTTCTTTGATAAACAAGTTTCTTATGTTCACTTTAAAAGTCACTGTCAGATTTTAAAATGACATCTGCTTTGATTTCACACACTGATTATAAAAAAYAATACAAGAAGACAGGTTAGAAATAAGTAAATGAATAAAAAAAATCCAGAGTCAAAGTACAGATCTTTTCTCTGCACCTTTTCACATTAAAAGCACAAATAGCATCACGTTTACAAACCAATACAAGTCCAGGCAAACAAGTTGTTATTAAGCCTTTTAGAAATACTCCATTGGTCTTTTGTGGGTAGCAGCAATCTGAAGGCAAATTGTGATAATTAGACGTGTTATTAAATGTACACAATCTCCTAATGCTGCAAATGTTTAGCCCAGCCAAGTGGAAGAGTGGCAGTAGAAATGATTGGCTTCAGGAGGGTTTGGGCCTCCTTTGATATAAGAGCGAAGTAGCAGATCAATCTTCTGCTATTGGCCCTCGGCCCTCAGAGTCCCTTCTTTTCTCGCAGGCCCTCACTTCAAAGCCAGGGGAACATAATGTACAATCTTTTAATAGCTTTAGACCAAAGCTCTTGGAAGCTCTCTGCCACTGTATACCCTGCCTCAGTCTAAACACCTAATCAAGATTACCTCTGCTGGCCCACAATAGCAGCTAAATGCAATTCAAGAYCCAGGGATCCTTTGAAGTCTTCATTGTAACAAACAGATGTTTGCTGGGTACGGGAGGTAATACGGCTAGCTGCAATTGCCAAACTTTGTTGTGACATCCTACAGAAAAGCAATTACTGGCCTCCCAATTTACCGAGGGAGATATTACGCAGCTTACTGGGCTCATAAGGCAGTTCTTACTGCCTCATTTGTTCCAGCTGATTGGAATTTTTGTAATTCTGACAAATATCAATGGGACCACGATAGGTAAAGTGAGATGTGCAAAGTGTTTTCTGTGTGTGTGTGTGTGTGTGTGTGTGTGTGTGTGTGTGNATTGGATTTTAGAGTTTTTGTTCTACTCTTTTGTGACAAATTCTGTTTTATTCATGTCAGATGGCACACTTTATGGGATCTGATTAAGCTGGAGATAAATAAATAAATAAATAAATAAATAAATAAATAAATAAATAAATAAATAAATAAATAAATGAGCTATTTTCAGTTCACACTCATTGGATTTTAGAGTTTTTGTTCTACTCTTTTGTGACAAATTCTGTTTTATTCATGTCAGATGGCACACTTTATGGGATCTGATTAAGCTGGAGAAAAAAACATGTTAAAATACAGAGTCAAAAAGTAACAGTTGTTTGTATTTGCTTAATGGACATCCAAGAAGTGAAACAGAGCCTGTGTATGCTATTGTTTACTTTGACATTGTAGCTTTAGAGCAAACTATGATTCATTGTTGAAGCTTTGGTGCTTTAATGGAAAATGCTTTTAAGTCCTTCCAACTTTTATACAGGTCCAGATACTGTGCTTGCTGTTTTAGAAAAGAAAACAGTGTTTTTTTTTCTATCTCAAAACCCTTAATCTATTTGGACAAATAAAGAACCCATTATACATTCCTTGATTAAATATAGTTTTATTTGTTTTCAGAAAAGCTGTTGGGGATAATATAAAGAAACACACAAATTTTCACCAATATTCAGTCCTTTTAGCCAACAATGATATTTTAATGGCTAAAACTAAGTCTGCTTTACAGATACTGAGCTGCAGTGTGTTGTGGTATCAGCTGAGTCTTTTGAGCACTGATGCTATAATCATTTTAGATATTAAGTATGATTATTTTCCAGATTTGACCAAAATGGCTAGAGTTTCATTATTTCTCAACATAAGATGACTTTAGTTTAATATGGTCTTTATTTTGCATCACAATTTTTGTCAGACTATTAACAATTCAAATAAGATGAAAGAAAATACAGCAAAGTAAAACTTGTTATTTGCTTTTTGCATTTATTTTTTGCTTGCTTTTCATTTTTCTATTGTACCAAACACCCACTGTACCAGTACAGGATTATTAACCTCATACGAAGGTACATACCAACTGGTGACTGGCCCCCACATACTCTGCTTCGCTCCGTGGAGGTCCACATGCACTTGAGGCAGCTGTCCGATGGACTGGTCTGCACAGAGATCAATTTTTTACATCCACGTATGCGGTGTTGCACAACAAACTGTCGGGCGAGTACTGTTTGGAACTGATAAAGTTGAGAATCTGTGTCATTTGTGGATGAAGTGGAGTCAAATTTTGAAAAGTGTCTCAGGGAGGAGATTAGAAAACTTTATGATGCATCAATAAAAGAATATAAAGACTTTCAGCGAACAACAAATTTGGGGGAGGAAATAGCTCAGGTCCTGGGTAAGGTCGCTTCTTTTTTAATTTTGTTGTTTTAAAGCTAAAATGCTAACTATCTCTTCCTCCTCATCCTTGACCTCATGACTGAAATTGCAAGGAAATAAAGAATTTGTCAGGGGGTCAGTACACTCTAATATGAAGTATGAAGTCTCAGACAATAAGTGTGGAGTTGGCACGGCTCATGGACTGCACAAAGTGGGAGGCTTAGCTTAAGACATCAAATATAGCTGTTTTTATCTGCACAAAAATAAAAGATTAGTTTATTTTGCATAACTGAAATTTCCAAACCAGAAATGTATTCTCTCTGATAGTAAAGTTGCTCTGTCCGCTGCAAAAAGAACAAAGGGCTGAGATTTAGAAGCCAAAGTGCTAAAACTGAAGTTGGGGTTTTGTACCGAACACCCGACTATTGGTAACAGAAAAAAAAACTGCCCATGCTGTGAGGTTGCTGTGGAAACTTGAGCCATAACAGTGCCTGGCCAAGAAAGAGTCCAAAAATAGTTCACATTGATCTTTTCTGTGTTAAAAAATGCATCTCTTCTGAATGGTCTGAAACCTTTAAGTCGAAGACGTGGTGATAAATAAATTCAATCATTTGTAAGATAAACACAAGGTCAAAACCTAAAATATGTGTAAAATATGTTTTTCTTGAAAATATCCAGTGGTTGATACACCTTTCTTTGGATGTTTGAGTTAAAAAAAACAAATAGATGTTTTGATTAGTTGGATTACTTTTATGTTGAGCAGGTTTATATGTGTAGAGTGTGTGCAGGTTCCAGGGAGAAAATCAGCTGGAGTTGGGCTGTCAACACTGATAAACTGGGCAAAGAATTATGTGCTGATTTGTTGCTTGGAGACAAGCTGAGATGCTGCATGTCGGTTGATTTATTGACGGAGCGGGCAGTCTTTCATTCTAATGGCCTCTCTTTGTATGTTTTTTTTCTTCCACTCATTCATTGTCCTTCTGTTAAGAGCAACATGACTTTTATTTATTTATTTATTTTTGAACATGGTACAAAATTCTGCCTGTGAACTGCTGCACGGTGCTGGTGAATACCTCAGTTTGAGTAAATGCATCTTTCAGCTCTTAAAGTCCCACAGGTCAAAAAGAAAAATGTGGCAGAAAATGCTGTTTCAGTTCAATGATTTTAAACGTTCATCAAATGTGGAAAAAGATGATGGTGTGGAGATTGAAGGAGGCTGAATCGATACCAAGCCCCTCAAAGGTCAGAACTTTGTGTAGGTGGAGTTTCAGATTTACTGCAGGAACTTTCTTTATTTTTCTGAAAAAACGAACTGCTTCTCAGTGAGCTCATACAAAAGCCTGTTATTATGCTATCACATAGCTACATTGGAACTGGCTTTAACAGGGACTTTGAAGAAAAAAGATATAACAAAGAAACTTGTATTTGTCAGATTCTGTGGGCTTCTGTTTCTTGTTTCTTTATTCTGTGTCAGTTTAGTTTCTCCTGTCTGTCTCTGCTGCTGGCCCCGCCCACGCTCACCTGTTCCTCATGACTCTCTGCAGGTGTTTCTCTTTTAGGTTCATTATGGTCCCTATATATTCTCTACCTTGCTTCTTGTTCCTTATCGGTTCATGGTGCTTTCATAAGTCAGTGGTTTGTTTTTCCTTGTATTTCTCAGGGGTTTTTTGTGAGTACTTTTATGCTGCCACAGCAGTGCTTAACTTTGTAAATACATCTGTTTCTTTTGACTTCTAAGTTTTCCTTGGTTAGAGCGAACCCATGGAGCAGACAAAAACTAAGCACAATGGCACTGATGTGTCACAGCGAGAAGGTCCTGGCTTCAGACGTTTGCATGTTCTCCTTGTGCTTATGTGGGTTTTCTTACTCCAGTTTCCACACAAAAAGCATGTGTTAGGCTTCCTTCAGGCCCAGGTCTACCTTGCAAAAGAAATCTGTGATCTCAGTAGGATTTGCCTGGTTAAAAAAGGCTAATAAATTTCTGTAAACCTTGAAAAACTCTATAAATGAGGATATTAAAAGCATTTGAAAGAGGTGTGAGTAGAATTAGTGTTGAAAAGGCTCACCATGTTTGGCACTTTTTCTAAAAATGACCATGTTTGTGTCAGGCAGATTATAGCCAGATTAGACTTTAGAAGTTGTTACAGTAAGGAAAGACCTGTTTTAAACAGTAACCAGTGAAGACCACTTTGCTTCAATTCAGACCTACCGTAAAACTTGTCGAAATATTCAAAGTCTGGTGCATCTTCATAAATGTTTTCTTTGCAGCCAACAGCACCAAGTGAATGCATTAGTTAGTGTGTCAAATAGAATAAAAAATAGGTTAATCTGTACAAGGATAAATTAGATTTCCAGTACTGCTCATTAAATGGCCCAGGGGTTTATGGGTAATTATTGCTACGCTGATCCTACTGTGCCTCAAGGAGACAATATGCTATCTGTCCCAGTTGGACACTGTCCTGGTCATACAAATAAACGTTGCTGCAGATGTAGGACTATATGCAAGCGCGCTAAGATAAAAATCATCAAAGAATTACGTTTCTCTGGGATTCATGATAATTATGGGACTGTTAGGATATTAAACAAACCCAAAGGCTGGAGATGAAAACTAAAATAACCATCACATATAAAAATGCATAGTTACAATTTAAAACCTTTAAAAATCACCAACAGAACTGGCACTATAACCAGTAAGTCATCTTCATGTATTTAAAAGTTTGTTGGAACCTCTATAATTGATGTTGTGTTATAATAAAATGTTGGAAAGGATAATGGGATCCCAAAATAGGGCAGAAAAAGGCTGTGGTATTTCACTTTCAAATGAGAGTCTAAACTTACCTACAGCAGGCTGAATAGAGTTGTCTGTGCTTGACAATACAGTCTGTCCAAGAAAGATCACTTCCAGAAGACCCCAGAGACCCCGTCTGTCTACAGTGTGTGTGTATTTTTGTGTGCATGTACGTCTTTCTCTTTCAGGACAGTTGTGGGTTCGCCTAAAAGCAAATGCCCATCTTCCTTTCTTTATATTTGTGAGTGGGAGGGCTCTCTATTGACTGTTGTGTAAATAATTACTCGCCTGTTGGAAAAAGTCAAAGCAGAGCATCCACAAGCAAATGGTGCCAAAATTGGAAACAGAGAGGGGGTTTGATGCAGAGAACCAAAAATAAGAACCTGAGAGCCACACAGATCAGGAACAAAGACTGTGAATTAAAGGGATTTGCTGCGTCTGGTTAAAACAGTAATTTTAACATTGAAAGTGAGAGGCGATGGGGAAAAAGAGCATTGATTTGAGTTTTTGTTTCTAATTATCTTTGTGCTTTTCTGAAGCTACGTTTTTATCACACATTTGCTTAAAGCTATAGGGCTCTCTTTTGAGTCTTTTTAAGACAGTGGGTTTAGTGTTGCATAACATTCTCTAAATCCTGAACCTGCAAAACACAGCAGGACTGGAGGTCAGAGCAGAAATGATGAATAACTGAAAAACAAAACCTGAACGGCCAGCAGAGCAGAAAGTACAGTACAATTACAAACAAATGCACAACTGCACTGATATTACCAACTGAGACAACCAGGATGTGTGAGTATACTGTAGTGATTACTTAAGTGACAACAGTTAAAAACGTGGTGAGATTGCAATCAGACAGAAGATAAGAGAGGCTACAAAAAACAACAAAGAAACCAAGCTCAGAAACTTAAAAATAAATACAGCGAAAACACAGACTTTAAAGTGCCTGTGACATCATTTTTTTGTAATAAATAGGAATGCATTTTTGGAAAGATAACATTAATAACTTATTTCGCACCGCTGAGAGGAACAGTTGTTACAATATTTGCATGTGAAGTAACAGGAAGTGATGTCAAAGGGTAACATTTGAACATGAGCAGAGCGTTGCTACAACTGTTAGAGAAGAATCTGATGTTTCTTTAGATTATTTTGAGTCACTATCAGAGAGATGAAGAAGAGTTCAATGTTTCAGTAAACAAAATCCAGGGAGTTCCTTTTCTTAATCAGATCTCCTTTGATGTCACTTCCTGTTTCACTTGGGCCAGTTAAAATATGCCAGCAATAAAATGTGTAAAAGCATGTGTATTATTCCAAGTTTCTTAAATAAAGACCCTTTCTTTGACTTTTGTATTGGAAGGATATGCACGTCACAGGTGCTTGAAAAGCAACTAACTACATAACCAAAAACCCAACAATCATTAAACTGATCTACTGATCATTTTTTACTCATAACAGTATATTCAGTTGTTTTCTGGTCTGAGATGATTATAAATTCCTGTTTTTCAGTTTATGTATGAAAAATGTTTCAGTGGTCTTGTTTTACCAGTTTATTATTAATCAGTTCACTAATCTGTTTCTCACACCTGCCTCTCGTTTGCTTGTTAGCTCAGCAGTTTGCCACTCTGTAATCACTGCTTCCTGTTAGTTTGTACTTCTCACTCACTTGTTGAATTCTCATCATACCTGCTCTGTGCCTGTTTCTGTTCTTGTTCATGATCCCCTGTAGGTTAGGCTGAGCTTTTATTTATTTATTTATTTATTTAGTTCTTCTATGAATAAATCTATTGGAATCAAGTATTCCACCTGCTCTGCACTCATGGGGCCATTGCACTAATATTCTCGTGACACATCTAACACATGTTTATTTCATGTTGTCTGGCATTATTTTTTGACGTTGGCAGAACGTTGCTCCAGCTGGAAGCATTTCTGAATGTGCAGGTTTTTGGTGCTAAAGTGTTGAACATTCCAAACATTTTATGGTAGCTGTCGAAAATACGATTTTCAAATATTTTTGATTTGAATTACTTTGCTTCAGTCACAATTTCTACATCATGAAGTAACAGCTTCTGTGGGCGAGGAGCAGACCACCAAGGTCCTCGCCTTCGACCACTATCCATCAAACATTGCCCCCGACCCCTTTGGCCCCTCCCACAGGGGAGCCCATGAGAATGGGTACCCACGTCTCATCTTTGGGCTGTGCCCGGCCACCAGGTGCTCACTAATGTGCCCCACCTTCAGGCCTGGCTCCAGAGTGGGGCCCGGTCCAGGTGAGGGAACACTAAGCCCAATGTTGACACTCATCATAAGGGATCTTTGAGCTGAGCTTTGCTGATCCCTCACCTAGGACCTGTTTGCTTTGGGTGACCCTACCAGGGTCATGAAACCCCTGACATCCTAGCTCCTAGGATCATCGGGACACTCAAAGATAAGGTGGCAGCCAAGGGAGAGGATGTTCTTTGTTTTTCAGCTGGCCTGGGAATACCTTGGGATTCCCCCAGAGGAGGTGGTCCAATATGGCTTTAACTAACTTTTTTTTTTAAATTTTCAGACTAAATTCACAAGTTATGAAATAATAGCTAAAATATGGTGTTAGCTTCAATATGTTTTTACACAATAAACTAACACTGTAGGAATCAGCAAACTGGATTTCCCATTTGCTAAAATAAACTTGCACTGATCTTAATTAAGCCCTATAACATCATCCTGGAAATGTACAAAAGGGAGCACAAACTATATGATGGAACAAAAATAACAGACATTTATGTCATCTGTTACTTTGGCAGTAAAGGTATAGCTCAGATGTGGACTGATGGCCATCCGCATAGCATGGTTTTGTGAGTGCACAGAATATTTTTAATGTTTCAACCCTGCGTCCTCACAGAAACAGAATTTTTGGAGCCCTAATATCTATAGGGTTTAAAATAATGAGACGCCACCTCAGAGTTTTGTGGTTGCATTGTTATTTACACAAAATAAAAGGTTTTAAAGGTTGCATTTTGGCCTACATGGCATCTTTCTTTCTTATTCATGTGTTTACACTTTGCAGCCAACAAACAAGCTTTTAACACCCATGCTTCATCTCTGGTGCCTGTTTTATGGTGTATTTTTGTGGCAGTGTAACAGCGCCACAGAAAGGTCTGGCGTATTTATTTCAGCATTTGGGGTTGTTTGTAGTGTTTCAGTGTGGACTAAGGCATTTCTAGAAACTGTGCTGTTTACAAGGATATTTAAAAGAAATGACAAATCATTTTAGGGTGCATTCACACCAGCTTCTAGTTTGTTTGCCTAGAAAGTCCAGTTTTCTTGGGATTGTGGGAATGTGTAATCAGACTCAGAACAAAAAAGGTCTGAACAAATGTGAGGAGCTGCTCAACAGATACGCTGTTAAAGTGAGAAAAATAAGAGTCAAAAGAACAAGGAAAGAAGAGCAACACATACCTTAGGGAGAAAGGAGAAGGTCAGTGTCAAGTCATGAAGAGTTGAAAATACAGAAAAAGTAAATTCAAGCAAAGAAACAGTAAAATAGCCTTCTGTATGTGTCTCCAGGCAGTATAAGTGGCCTGCTTTAACACCCCACCACCACCATCTGTCACATCCCACTCTCTGTGGAAAGAAAAAGAACGCCACCAGCGCTCGTCTCTTTGACTTACAGTCCGATGGCTTATTTTCACCAACGTGCAGAATCTCAGCAGCTCCCCACCATTCAACATTTATATTCCGTTTCTACATGTGCCCGACGCTCGTGTAGCTCAACCTGAGTCTTGCAGCAGAATGGGGTCACTGTACTCCGCTTACTTATTAATGTGAGCTGTGTGTCTTTCAGTCACTTTTTTTTCTTCATTCCTTTTTTCTCCTCCTAGAACTTAAATTCTCACCTAATTTTCTTCTTATTAACCCCAGCAGCGGCCCATTTCTAGCTCACAGCCAGCACATATTTAAAGTCCTTGGGATTTGCATCAGTGTCAAACACTGTTGGCTGCCGGTGTGTAAAAAGGAGCTCATCCTGTCTACCAACATCACAAACACAAACCACTGACTGGGTGGACGAGGGTACAGTTAACTTGTCAATTATTTTAATTTTTGGATTACAAGCTATTTAATTCCTGAAGATTCCAGTCAACCAAAGTTGTTAAATCTGCATCTAGTGAGCTGATGTTAAACTGTCAGTTTTCTGGGGTTACTGTACATACTGTACGTGTTGAGAACTGAGCATGTGTATTCAGCAAAACTACCACACATCTCGCTGTTTTTGTGAAGATTAATGGTACTATGACTGCACTTTCCGGTATAAATATCATTATCTTCTTTTAGGCTTTCAAAGGTTGCTCAATGTGTTGTTTTGACATTTTCCTTCAGTTGTAAGCGTTGGCCTTGAATTGGAAAGAAGCAGGATATTACGCTGAAAGAGAGAGCTTCCATCCATTGAGGTGTCAGCTGTGCATTCTAAGAGCTTGAGGATTCAAAGGAAACACACACACACACACACTCACACACATTCACGCATGCTTTCTCGTCTGTAATCCCGCAGTCACCTACGAACACTCTTGATCTTTAAGAATAATCAGCGTTTGGGAACATTCCACCTCATTGCTTATTCATAGCCTGTGTTTATGTCTTATTCATGCCACCGCTCATCATGTCTGTCTGTTTTAACGAGTAATTGGGAATAATTGCGTGCGTGTGTGTACTGAATGTGCAAAAGGCAGATTTGAACCTAGAGAGGCGTATTTATGATGGGGCAGGGAAATTTCATGCACATGTGCATCAGACAGCAAAAGATGACACGTTCAAATGGAAACAAAATAAATAAAAGAAAAGGTTTTGATTGTGCTAAGTCATGTGAGCATTTTTAAGCTTCTAGCATCGGCTTACAACAATTACATATCTACAAGCAACAGATGAATGTGTTACTATGGTTTGGCGCCTGAGTGAGCACATCTCTGGTATAATTGGTGTGATGTTGTGATTTGGAGGAAAGCAAAAGCTTTCTAGTCTGTTGAAATGTCTAATTCCATGTGAGTAAGTTAGAGCCAGCTTCCCGAGCTCTTTGAACAACAATTTCTGTCACAATTTTTGGCGCACATTGTCAGCATCAGACAGGAAAAAGTTGTAGGGATATGCTGTTTTGTCGATGTTACGGACAATGCTATATCATAAATACCTCGTAATTATTAGCATAACAAAGGGGCACCACCTGTTTATTTCAGGAAATAATTCATTGATTTTAAATCAGTCTTCATTACTGAGTAGTGACTTCTATCATTTTCAAGAACGAAACCCAAGAAATGACGCACAGACAACGGAATTTCATAATATACCCTATATTAAATATGATTCAGAGGTCACAATACAACAGATTATTTGGGCAGACAGAAAATCTTATCATCAAAGCCTTGAGGTTTAATTAATAAACATTAATGTCAGTCACAATAATAATCTAGTATCTTTCCCCTGAGTCACTTATCTACTCTACACTCAAAAAGATTATAGGAAACTTGAAGGTTAATAA